ATAAAAGCACTTTTATGGAAGCACTTTTAAAAAAAATCACTTTTTTGAAAGAACTTTTATGAGAACACTTTTACAAAAGTACTTTTATGAAAGCACTTTTATAAAAACACTTCTACGAAAGTGCTTTTATAAAAGTACTTTTACGAAAGTGCTTTTATAAAAGCACTTCTATGAAAGTACTTTTATAAAAGTCCATAGAAGTACTTTTTGAAAAATGAAGCACTTTTCCGAAGTACTTTTGTAAAAACACTTTTATGCAAATATTTTTATCAAAATACTTATACAAAAGTGCTTTTATATAATTTTTGATATTTCATTTGATTTGTATTGGATTGAATTTGATTTGTATTAGATTTGGACTGGATTAGGTCCAGTCCATTTATAAATAAACTCACATTGGACTGAATCGGGTTGGACCAAATCCATCCAATTGACATCTCCACAACTAACCGAGCAGTGAGGGATTTGCAACATGAGGAGTTTGCAATTAGTAATAACAGTCCTAATTCTCCACGGAGGTACATGATCATCTTCCAACAAACTCGATATGATCGTTTTGAGAATCACCCTCTATATAAACTGAAGAAACACCCAGATCAAAAGCAAACTGGAAAGTGGCCAAGGTGGCTTTGGCTTCTATTTCCAAAGAAGAGCCTAATGGAACTTTAAAAGCTCGTCCAAAGCAAAAAAGACCATTGGAGCCACAAATCAGGAGTCTGACATCACCAGTAGATGAATTTAGATCTCCATCAAAATTCAACTTCAGAGAAGAGGCATGTGGTTTGATTCAACCAATTTGAGTTTGAAAATGAATTTCAGATGATTGAATTAAAGTCCATAATTGAATATTTGAAATCAGTTCAGTCATCTGAGATTGAGCCACCACTAGTACAGCTAAAGGATCAAAAGAGGTATGCTCAAATACCACCTTACATCGATTTTTCTAAATATTCCACATAATGATAGCACCCTGCTGTGCAAAAATAGATAAGTGAGATTCTGCCACAGGGTCATCAAGTTGAAACCACAGAGAAGCCAATCTTGGAGTGAATTAGCAACAAGTTGCTCTAAAGCCTCTACTCAAAGAGAAATATTTGAACCAAACCAGGCCCTTTGAGTTACTTCACATGCAAAAAATAAATGAATTAAGTTCTCAGCTTGTAAGCTACACAAGGGACAAATACTAGCTAATTGATTAGTTTTTGTTTTCTGACATCATGTCTTTTAGATATCATAGTTGAACCCATTTATAATATATTATATTATATTTATTTATTTATTTATAATATATATTATAAATATAAAAATCCAAAAAACCGAAGAATCAAATCGATTAGAAGAGTTGCAAACGGTTTCAAAAAGTTCCCATAGTTGTAGCATAAAAAAAAAAGTGGTTCGGTCGTAAACATCCCTCGGGCCTTGATGACTTTCCCATGAAGCTAAAACCCTTACCCAAACTCACTCTGTGGATCTACCAAAATAAGGATTAACTTTGGCTGTTAGGGCCCAATAGCATAGGCTGTTGAGACAGTTTCTAAGTTGGGCATGTTCTGGGCAATTCATCTATTCACGTTTATGCTTTCGGGGGAATTTGGCAAGTCTTTCAACAATAGATCTTCTAGTTGCTAAAGACCGATAAGACCACAAGAGCTTTCATAGGTAGATCTAGGAAGTCCAAAGATCATTTAGTTGCAGTAATTATAACAGATATTATAGAAAGCTAGGAAGACATAAAGATCGTTTGGCAAAGTGCATAACAGTGATGAATAAACATGTGCTTAACACACATGTGAAATATCAAGTGTGAAACCCAATAACACATTCAAATATGAAAATAGTACTCTTGGGTCCCACTTATACAATTATTTACACGGACCCATTAATGCACTTACCATAACAAAAAAAAATCAATGTAGGCCCACTCTCATCTTTGGCTTACACATACATCACCTGCTTGACCCCACTCATGTGTTTACCTATACAAAATATTGAAGTGGGACCAACCCATGCATTCACCTATACAAATAAAACAATGTGGGCCCAACTCTCATTTTGGGCCAGCACATATATTATCTATTGGCCCCGTGGCTATTATAATGGATTTCTTTCAACCATGGCTGTTACAGCGTTCAATATCCTCTTTAGTAGGAAATAATTCAAAGAAGGACCATCAGATGTTCCAAGATAATTTATTATAAAAATTCTAGTAGATAACAAGAAAATTAGAGAATTAATAGTTGTGTGTAACAGAAATAATTTTCCAATAAATAGCTAATCTTTATCAACAACAAAGAGGAATAAGCATTATAATTTGGCAGTTGGAAAAAGTCAGAAATGAATTAATAGTCAATTGTAGCAGAAATAATAAATAGTAATATAGGATTTGAGGCAATTTTGTGATATGCCCACAAGGAGGTTCTTGCTTACTCTAGACTAGCTAGAACAAGCAAATCAGTGAAAGAATCTACACTGCATTGAGTTTCTGAAAAAAAAAAAAACATACTCCCACCTTCACAGTAATAGTAATTAATATGATATTATAAGTATTTTTAATAATTCTCCTCTCCCTCTGTCCCCATTGTTGGTTCACGTTAGCAAACAACCCTTTGATTTGATCATGGGAGGGAGCTTGACCATAAAAGGGAAAATTCGATTCTAAGACATTGCAACAATTTAATAAACAAGGGAAAGTAAACGATAGAAACTTCAATTAAAACAAAGAAAGCATAGGGTTTTAATAAATTGAATAGAAAATTTTCAAATTTAAGCGCTCTTAATTCTAAGCACTCGGGCTAGTCGTCTCTGATCTCTCAACTCATCCTCAAAAAACACACTGCAATTTTGATGAAACAAGCCTCCCCGTAGTTGAATTCCTATTGGTATCAGCAGATCATCCAAAGACAAGAAAACCTAGAAGGGAAACCACAAGAAATCACCCAGATTGAAAAGGCCAAAGAGCCTAGCATGAAGGGAATAGGAAGCAGAAGCAAAGGTAAGCACATTGGATATGACATAGAGAGGCGAAGAGATACTTAGAAGGAAACCAAGATAGAAAAAGAAGAATTTAAAACCAATTAAATTAGGAAAAAAAATTAAAACCCAGATCATATAAATAGCGAAAGAATCAAAAGGTGAAAGCCAGATGGCAGATGAATAAAGAAAAGGATCCCCCCCCCCCAAAAAAAAAAAATTAAACAAATAAATAAAGCAGACCCAGGTGGAAAAGCAAAGTAAAGAAAAAGAAGGCAATACAAGGTAATCCCTGTTGAGGTAAACAATGAAAAATATTTGCAAGTTTGAAAAACAAAAAGGTTTGGGGAGACCCAGAATTTTTAATAATCAATTGTAGCAGAAATAACTCTTCAATAAATAGTAATATAGGATTTGAGGCAATTTTGTGATATACCGGTAAGGAGGTTTTTGCTTAGCTCTAGACCAACTAGAATTAGCAAATCAGTGAAAGAATCTACACTGCATTGAGTTTCTAAAAAAAAAAAACATCATCCCTCTTTCACAATAATGGTAATTAATAATTCCTCTCACCCTCTGTCCCCATTGATGATTCATGTTTGAAGAAAAAGAAGAAGAAGAAGAAAGCAAAAAAAGAAGATGAAGAAGAAAGGAGGAGGAAAATACCTTCTACAGTGGAGGGTTTTACATGCACATTGAGGAATGGGTGGTTTTGTTCGAAGAACCCCAACTATTTTCTCAATCATGCAATTCTTGACACACGTATGATAAAGCTTAGAAGGCCCAGAATTTGTATAAGCTCAGGTTGGAGCTTCTCAATTTTGGGGATTTTCGGGCTTGCACAAGTTTTTTGAGCTGCCCATCTTCCCGTCTTCTTGTCTTCTTTTGCCAAACGGAAAAAACTCAAAATTTGGGCTTTCAGGCCAGAAGACACCATTGAAAGACTTACCAAATACAATCTTTGTTTTAAGTCAAAATAAATTAAGATATAATTATTAATTTACCCATTCTTATGATAATACGTGACATTCCCAAAAATTCTCTCAAACAGTCTATACTGTTGGCCCTGACAACTAAAATTTTTCTCCAAAATAAACAAAACTCACCTATTTTTTTGGGTAATTGCATCATTAATAACTTCTTCTGACCCCTTTTTTCCTAAAGTTGATTTAATTCCACGTCAGCACTGGAACAAACCACCTAATACACCCTCGATTGGTTAAGTCACTTTGCGGATCTCCTACCCGAAGTGCGAAAAGTTTGTTGTAGGAGATCCGAGCATTATGTGGAAAGTGGGTACCAAACAAAAATACATTAAGAATAGTTGCCGGTTGCCCCTATGCACCTAGAAGATTGATACAACAATCAAAGCGATAATGATTTAAATTCACGGGGGTTTCTGACTGATTAAAATTGCAGTATTATATTTATTTTCATATGTGTATTTGTTGAAGGGTTGGACGAGTGGAGTGTGGAAGATAGCGAAAAAAATAACAAAACCTTTTTTTAGACAGCGTCTCGGAGGTAGGATAAATTTGAACACCTGGCAACTTGGCAAAGCCTTATCAATAAGACTGTTTTTACCTTGGGCGATCATATTTGACTTGAAACAGTAACACTAGGACTGGTTCCGATGAAAAAGCCAAAACTTCCGTTCATGACCGTGGAATATTCCCGGAATGCAGCTTCATCAAAGGATGAAAGCGTACAAGCACAGGAGTTGGTTTTGGTGCTTGTTAAGAATTTTGGAGCTTGGTTTTGGTGATCGACGTACGTCTGTTTTTTATCAATAAATTAAATTAAATGGGAAAATGTCATCAATGTATCGTCTTGTTTCAGAAATCACAAATGAAACGCGTTTAGGTTTCCGGTATATAAAGTAAAAAAACGTGTACGCTGCCATCATCCCGTTGGAACGGTTAGCCGTTACAGCGACCCACCGAATTTAAAATTACTAAATTAGAGTCGAAACTCTCGGGAACTCTTTATAATCATCTCCTAACAAAACGGACGTTTCAGCTTTCAACGGTGGCACCTTCAATCGAAATAGGCCGACAACTTTGGGTTCAAATACCCAAATCTATCCACCCACTCGGGATTTCAGCTCCAGTAATAGGAAAAGAATTAAGATCTATCCTCCTTGCAGATTTCTCCGTTTTCCATCGGTCTAGTCCAGACGTACACCGGTGCACAGTTTCTAGATCACCAGGAGGTCAATTTTTTGTCCTCTTGGATGATTTAGATTCCAATATGTTGTCTGTTCTGCTAAATTTTGCGTAATTTCATGGTACACCGGTGCATGGTTTCTAGATCACCAGGAGGTCAATTTTTTGTCCTCTTAGGTGATCTAGATTCCAATATGTCGTCTGTTCTGTTAAATTTTGCGTAATTTCATGGTGGACTGGAGGCCTCAGGTTTCTGATTGTAACCAAGTTTTGATTTTCTGCTTTTCTTTCGGCGATCAAAGGGAGTCCTGTTAAATTTCTTTCTGAGTTTGAAGGATTAAACGAGGGAATTTGCGTTTTCTCCGGCACCCCTTTGTTGGTTTTTCCTTGGTCGTAGAAGCCTGGACGGAGCGAATTTAGGGGTGTGTAGGAGAACGCTTTAACTCCCTACGGCACTCTTCTGGTGAGAATTATTTCTTTTTGCTTCTATATATTCCCTTTTTCTTTGGTATTTTCATTTTCCATTTCCTGCTCTGTTCTGCGATGAAACAGTTTTAACATTTATTTAATCGTTGAATGCTGTGATTTTGTATTAGAAAATCGCGTTCCCTTGCTTTTTGAGCCCGGGGATGGAACAATTCCGGCGGACTGGAGAAGCTTTGGGGAGTCTTAGAGCCCTGATGGTATTCCAAGACGATATCCAAATCAATAAGAAGCAGTGCTGCTTGCTGTTCGATATCTTCAATCTTGCGTTCGAAAGGATTGCAGAGGAAATGAGGCAGAACCTGAAATTCGAAGAGAAGAGCACAAAATGGAAGGTTCTTGAACACCCCTTAAGAAGCCTATACAGAATTTTCAAAGAAGGGGAACTCTACGTTAAAGAGTGTTTGGAGAACAAGGACTGGTGGTCCAAAGTCATCACCTTCTCTAAGAGCACCGACTGCGTCGAGTTCCACATCCATAATTTGCTTTGCTGCATTCCTGTGGTAATGGAGGCCATTGAGGCTGCTTCAGAAATCTCCGGCTGTGACCAAGATGAGATCCAGAAGAAGCGGTTCATTTTTTCTAAGAAATATGAGAATGAATGGAAGGATCCGAAGCTTTTCCAGTGGTTATTTGGAAAACAGTACCTGGCTTCTCAAGATATCTGCAGTCGGTTGGAGACGGTCTGGAAGGAGGATAGATGGATTCTTCTTGACACAATCAGGAAGAAGAGATCAGAGTCGTCCTTAGCTCTAACAAAGCAAGAGCAACGTCTGATGGAACTCCTAGTCAAGAATCTAGATGGGTCAGAACCATCGAATGGGAAGCTCTTCCCGAGTTCGATCTTAGTGAGTTGGAAGGACTACCAGGTAAGGAGACGGTTAGGGAATGGAAGCCAATACAAGGAGATCCAGTGGGTGGGAGAAAGCTTTGTCCTAAGACACTTCTTCGGGAACATCGAGCTTCTGATTCCCGAGATATCTCGTCTCTCAGCCATGAGCCATCCTAACATATTGAACTTCCTCTGTAGCTTCTGTGATGAAGAAAAGAAAGAATGCTTTCTGGTAACAGAGTTGATGACCAAGGATCTGTCCAACTACATGAAAGAAATAACTCAGCCCAGGAAAAGGGTGGTCCCATTTTCTCTCCCGGTTGCTGTTGATCTAATGCTTCAGATTGCAAGAGGGATGGAATATCTTCATTCCCAAAACATATACCATGGAGATTTGAATCCTTCCAACATCCTAGTTAGAGCAAGGAATGTATACCCCGAAGGGCACTTGCATGCAAAAGTCTCAGGGTTTGGCTTATCTTCCATTAAAGACAACCCTCGAAACCCGTGCCAGCAGAATGGGAATGGGGCTCTCCCAGTAATCTGGTATGGCCCAGAGGTATTAGCGGAGCAAGAACAGACAGGGAACAATTGTAATTGCAAGTACACAGAGAAGGCCGATGTGTATAGCTTTGGGATGATATGCTTCGAGCTTTTGACAGGGAAAGTCCCATTTGAAGATAGTCATCTGCAAGGAGACAAGATGAGCCGGAACGTAAGAGCAGGGGAGAGACCTCTGTTTCCATTTACTGCACCAAAATACCTCACAAACTTGACCAAAAGATGTTGGCATAGCGACCCAAGTCAACGCCCGAGCTTCTCTTCCATCTGTAGGATCCTCCGTTACATCAAGCGGTTTCTATTGATGAACCCTGACAACAACCAGCCTGACCCGCCATTGCCTGTAATCGATTATTGCGAGGTGGAGGCAGGGCTTTTAAAGAAGTTTCCCTCGTGGGGCAATCCTGACACAGCAGCACCAGTGTCGCAAATCCCATTTCAGATGTTTGCTTATAGGGTTATAGAGAAAGAGAAGACGAGCCTGAGCCTTAAAGATAGGAGTTCGGAATCAGGGAGCGATGGAACTTCAGTTTGCGGGGACGAGAATGCATCTATAGTCGATGATCCATTCCCAACGTTAACTGAAAAGAAGCCGTCCGTTTGTTCCGAGACAAACAAGAAAACTTTGTTAAAGAAGATAATAACTACGGCAATGACAGACGGGAAGAACACCAAGCAACCAGGTTATCTTTTAACTTTTATGTTCCTTATTATTTTCTATGTTACTTCACATAAAAATAAAATCAATGTTTTAAGACTCGACCTGGACCGGATGGTCGGACCATGAAAATTGGGAACAGGTGGCCTTTTTAGGTCCTGGTTATATGTAGGGGTGTCAATTGGACTGGATTTGGTCCAATCTGATCCAGTCCAATGTAAAACCATTATAAATGAACCATGTCCATTTCAATCCAATGAATATTTTAGACCAAGGACCGGTCTAATTCTATGTTTGGACCGTCCAATCTGTTTAAGTTCATTTTGAGTTAGATTGGTTTCAACCCAAACCTGGTCCACTGACACATATATTCTTATCTTATATCAAATGATTAAATATTGGCTTAATCCAACAAAATCGAATATAAATTTGTTACAGACGGACCGGGTCCAATCCAATCTAATAAATATTTTGGATCAGATTGGTCCAATCCAATCAGTCCAAATTAATTTTGGACTGGACAGGGTTCAATCCAAAACCGGTCCATTGACACCCTTAATTACATGATGGTTTTGGCAGGTTGGATGGGCAAGCCTAACCGGTAAAACCGAGACCCAGAGAGCATTTTGATTTTTACAAAATGTTGAGAAATTTGTTAGAGAATTAAAAACATATTTAGAGAACTCACCTAACGGCTTAAAAACTTATGGGGATGTGTTTAGCCAAGTGGTCTATTGTCCCATCCTCCTTGCCCCCATAATTAATTAAAATTTCCAATGAACTTTCTCATGAGGGGCGTGTTAGAGAATGGCTTAACAGCTTAAGCTTCTAGGCAGAATTAGTTTCAGTCACCTCTCTTATTGCTAACTGAAATGTGTCTGAGCCATTTTGAAGTTCTCTAATTTGTAAATTAATAGGTAATAGCTGCAGTCTTTGGCAATCATCACTTTTGACTGTAAAAGATTTTAACACCATCCTGTTTGGTTTGACAGTAACGCCCAAAGGGCGACAAAGACCTCCACAATTGTCTCCATGTGGACTCAATATGAGAATGAAATCTGAAAGCCAGTTATCAATGGTGATGAGCCCAAGCATGCGGAAAAGATCCGGTCATGTCTCAGATTAGGTACGTATACAGAATCAACCTTACTCCATGGAATTAATGTTCCTACACAGCATGGCTTCTAAAGACGATTGTCACTTCTTCCCTGTCATTTGTTTGTAGTTTTGACTTCGTTAAGGTACCTGAGCTTTTTGTGTTTACCTTTTTTTTTTTTTCCTTTTCCATAAAGATTCATGTACAGATACGAAATTTCACTTTTTTTTTCCTGTTATTTCTTCATTTCCACTTAGTTTTTTATCTGTCGTCGATGTGTTCATGTTGAAGTTTCTTGTGTTATACGACCATAGTTGGAAGAACTCTTAAGTTTTCTTTTACATGGCTTGTTTCATGGCCTATTTTGATTAATGCCCAGGAATTAGCTTTTTTTTTTTTTTTGGCACTAGGAGTTGTCGAATTCTTGATCTTTTGTAGGCGTCAATCGCATTTGCCTCCCCTAGTAATTGATTTTAATTTCATCCAAAACCTTGTTTAGCGCAATATTATATGTCAATAGCCTGAAGTCACATAGCCTAATTAGGATGTATCTGAATGCACTTGGAAGGATTAGTAGAGGGCATGGACTTGGTCTGACTCAATGTTTTCAAAATCGGACTGGACAAGATGGTCGGACTGGTTCTGTTTTATTCTAGAATCGTCTTTTGGCCAAAAACCGTTGATTTGGTTAGTAAATCGCTGACTTGGGTGTTTGAATCGTCTAACGGTTTTTAGTTATTTTTTTAATTTTTTATTTTTTATCAGAATGGGTTGTCCGTTCGATTCAAACGGTCAGACTGTTTGACTCAGGAATTGGGCTCCTGAACTCGTTGTTCAGTTCAGTTTTAAAAACCTTGGTCTGACTCAGCGAACAACATGTAATTATTAGGGTAAATTCCACTTTAGTACCCTAAACTTTGGGGGTACTGTCAATTTAATATCCGAACTTTCAAACATATCACTGCAATACCCAAACACTTTCAAAAAATGTCAAGTTAGTACCCAAACAGATCATTGCAATTTTTTCATAGGTGAAGGGCATTTTTGTCCTTTTACATAATAATTAATGTCTGTTAATGGTTTTGGACTAACTTGATATTTTTTGAAAATTTGGGTACTACAGTGACACTTTGGATACTCACTTGACATTGCCCTAAAAGTTCAAGGTACTAAAGTGGAATTTACCCTAATAATTACACGTTATTTGTTGAGTCAGACCAAGGTTTTTAAAACTGAACCAAACAACGAGTTCAAGAGTCCGATTTCTGAGTCAAACAGTCTGACCGTTTGAACCAAATGGATGGCCCATTCTGATAAAAAATAAAAATTTAAAAAAATGGCTAAAAACTGTTGGATGGTTCGACAACCCGGATCAATGGTTTACTAACCAAAAGACAGTTCTAAGGTAAAACGAAACCAGTCCAACCATCCGTCCAGTCCGGTTTTGAAAACATTGAGTCAGAACAAGTCCATGCCCTCTACTAATCCTTCCAATTACATTCAGAATAGATCCCAATTAGACTAATGAAGTAAAAAATGATACTAGAAAAGATTCAGAGAAGATGAGAGAGTGCGATGATGGGGAATTAGAGAGAGCACTCAGTGTAAATTTCTAAGTCGTTTGTGGGCATTTCTTTTCGTTTCGCCTTGTTTTGAATTTTCCTTCACTTGAGCAGAATTTCTGATTTTAAGGGCATTTCATTTTGTTTTGTTTCATTTCTTCCTGTTATTCGGTTGGAAACATCTCATTCTCATGACTGATGAGTACTAATCGTATTTTCCTCTATACGAACTTTTGAAATCCACTAATTGTTTATGAGCTAGCTGAGCTGCATTTAATATATTTTTTTAGCCCACTAGTTCTATGATATCTTGTTAACGGTTACTGGTGATTGTAAATCCTTGGATACATTATCAGACTGTAATCTTCTTTTGTTGATGATGGGTGTCAAGACTTTAAATCTTACATTTTCTTTCAATGTTTGGCAGGCCGAGTACTTTCGTCACTTGCTTAAGCCTGTTACAAAGAAGAAGAAGAAGAAGAAAGACTTGTTGACTTCTTGTCGCCGCAAGTGGATCTTACGTTAACAGATGCCGGTGTACAGTGAAATCACCGGTGCGAAGCTTCTGAACTACGGCTTGGTGGAGGAGAGGAGAAAGAAATGGAGAATTAAAAATTCCCAAAGCATTTAAAAAATTGGGTTTTTGTCCTTTTGTATCTGGTTCAACCGGATTGCTTGACTAACGATAAAATTCCCATTAAAGTTACCCATTTTTTTGAGTGCTGACGTAACTGTTTCTAATTGGTGGGTTCACGCTTCCCACAAACCCACGGGTTCAAACTCCATCACGATTCGCTTTTATTCTAATCAGAAAATTTCCTATGTTGCAAGTGGATTTAAAATGGCCTCTCCTCCCGGAGATGAGTTCTTCTAAATCAAACTAAAACTCCAAATCCTAACGCCTCATGAGATCAGAGTTTGAGGGCTCTGCAGCCCCACAAACGAGAGAACATGAAGGATAAGTAACTGTTTCCTGTCCTTGAGGGTGTCTACTATCTTAGATGGTGTTTAGAAACGTGTGCATTTTTTGGGATCGATTTTCAAGAAAAAATGCCCATAATTCCAAGATCCATTTTTTTGTTTTTTAAAAAAACGTTTTGATTTTGTTTGGGAGTGTTTCTTCCACGTAGACAATGAGGCGCACTAACATGTATGTGCACACATTACCCCGTAAGATGAGGCGCACTAATATCATACCAAAATATATAATGATGCTTATCAAATGGTCCAGACTAATTGGATGATTGTTTTATAATATTTGAAAATGTTATTGGAATAAATCAACAACATCAGCATGAATAATGGCATCATATCCAATGGCTGTGCGTGATCCAATTCACCTAAATGCTTCTGATTACATCCCTGATGTACGAAGGTTCTCAACCCACCTTCTTGCTATATGTTTTAGGTGTAAACACCCTTAGTAAATCACTTCCCATCCAAAGAAGAAAAGTACAATGGTTACTAGTGGGAAGAATGAAGAAGAAAATATGTTTCGTTGCCTAGTGGGCTAAGTCTACAGTAGTTTGTAACCAAACATCCCCTAAATGCTTCTGATCGTCTAGATTTAAGACTGATGGAAAGTTATGTGGCTCAAGCGACCACCCTCTATGACCAAAGGATAAAGTCCCATCTCTTCTTTTAGCCTGGAAGGCTGGAAATACATACATTGATACACTGGAACGAGAGAGGATCAGAGTAAGCTACCGACGGCCGCTGTAAAACCTATAATGGCGACGCCTGTGAAAGTATATGGGCCGCCCATGTCCACTTCCATTTCAAGGGTCTTAGCATGTCTCCTCGAAAAAGAAGTTCAGTTTCACCTCATCAGCGTTAACATGTCTAAGGGTGAACACAAGAAACCCGATTTTCTCAAGATTCAGGTATGAACATGATATGACCATACCAATCCTTAGACTCTTAACTGCACACATTTTTTATCCCCTGCATATTTTAGTTCCATTTTGAACCTTCTTCTCTGCAATAGCCCTTTGGACAAGTCCCAGCCATTCAAGACGAAGATATTTCTCTGTTTGGTAACTGATATATGTTCCTCCCTTTTATTTTTTTTTCTTTTGAATATGACTTTAATCTTTCTACCAAATAAGCTTACTTTCTTCCAAACATCCCCTAAATGCTTTTGACCGTCCAGATTTAAGACTGGTGGCAAGTTACACGGCTCAAGCGACCGCCCTCTCCGGCGACCACCCTCTACAAAGCATCAACTGTGAGAGGAGAAAATATTCCCACTAGTGACAATTCATCTAACAGGTAAGTGCCACATAGGATACAAGTATTTGCCATATCAGTCAACCATTGGGGGCAACGGTTCACCGAAGTGTTTCATGCAATGGCTGGGTCCCGATTTATGAGGCATACGCGTTTTTTCAAAAATGTGTTTGTTGAATCGCCTACATGGATCCAATGTGGCATTGTTTTTTAGAAAAATGGCCACGCTTCCAAACATCCCCTTAGTGTTAAAGAGGTTTTGCGTTTGTACTTGATTTAAGTACCGGAAATGAAAAAAAAGTATAAACACAAGGTAAAATGTTATAACCATTCGTCGTTGTTTATTATACATAAGTGAAACTAAACACCATTAGGTGCCAAGGAGGACAAAATGCCTCAGAAAAGTTTAAATGGTGTTTACACCATTAGGTGCCAAGGAGGACAAAATGCCAAGGAGGACAAAATGCCTCAGAAAAGTTTAAATGGTGTTTACACCATTAGGTGCCAAGGAGGACAAAATGCCAAGGAGGACAAAATGCCTCAGAAAAGTTTAAATGGTGTTTTCTTTAAAAATAAGGGTAATTGTCCAAAACCTACCATCACTTTTTCTGAATTCTCTTAAACCCACAACAACTTTTCAAAACGTCTAAAACTCACTGTGTCAGTGAAATTTTATTTTCTAAAACTCACCATCCGTTACAACGCCGTTAAAGTTGAATGACTCAAGTTGTTCACATCAACCTAAATGCATATTTCATGACTAAACTGCCCCTGAATGGTGACTCAGCCTGTTAAACAATTTTTTTGACTAAAATGCCCTTAAACTTGGGTTTTTGGTAAGTTTGGAAGCAGCACTGAAACAAGAAACCTTGCAGCATCTGAATCTCAGTATAAGATCTTTGACAGTAGTTCCTTGGCTTCTCAATCTCGATGGAGGTCTTTCCTTGGAAAAATAAAGGAAATAGGGAAGAAGGAACTGGTGTCTTCTGAGTCCAAATTTGGAGGTTTTCCTACTAAAGTGGAAGATTTCAATGTTCAGGGGATGAGATTACAGAAACAAAATTCTCTTTCTAAGCAAAGCAAGAGGTTGTAGGAAAAGAGGAGTGAGAGCACCCCTAATAATACGACTGGTGAGCCAGTTATTCCCACAAGAAAGGTCATGGAAAGCCTGGAGATGTTTAGTTCAGCTGCAACAGCCCCAGTTGAGCAAGTTCAGAAGGTTAGGCAGTCAAAAGGTAATCATGAACTCCTGTATAATTACTTGAGAAAAATCCTGTGAAGGAACCTTTTGGGAGTTCCAGCAAGGCAGATTTTGATGTTGGTTCATTGATGAAGATGGTAGAAAACCATGGCTTTGGTAGTTCTCTAAAGCACAATGTTACCGAGTTGGGTTTGTCAGATGAAGGAAAAATCCTGTGAAGGAACCTTAATGGTGTATGTGTCCGGGTTTCTAAGGGTTCCTGGGAATCGAGAAGGTCATTTGGTTCTACACCAATCTCTTCCCCTGCTGCAAAGTCTAGAGACCTAATTGTTGAGGTAGGGGTAGATTTCCTGGAATCGATGAACTATTGACTTTTGGTGTAGCAATGCTTTTGAGAGGTTCAGAAACCAAAGGAGGTAGGATGAGGTTGCAACCAAAATCTGCAATGACTGGTTCACGTAACGTCTCTATTTTTCTTTTGCAATCTAAACATACCTGATAATGAAAAATTGTGTTCGACTTCGTACCAGTCTCTTCCGTAGATTCCGATAGATTTATGCAAGTAAGAGGGGATTTTCCACCAGAGAACAAAGTGGAAGTTCTAACAGTCTCATTTCTCTCAGTCAACACTTTCTTTCTCGACGATGGGTTCTCCTTAAAAGATATAGAAATGGTCGGATCCATGAAATTCTTTGATCCCTTTGAAACCGATGGTGACCTTGCCCTCACCAGCTTAAAGTTATGATCTTTTTCATTCTCGTTTTTCTCATAGGAAACTTGGGGAGACATTAGTCCTTCCTTGCAACCTGAATTCCTTCTCGTGAAATCTGAGTTACATTTATCAAAGATGAATTAGGAAAAAAAATCAATATCCATGATGAAAGAGGCAATAATCCATCGTTCTTCTTCTCAAACGATGAGAGAAGTAGCGGACGGTGATAAGTTGCAGACTGTACTCCGACTGCTCTTCTTCTCAGATGATGGGAATAGTCTTCATGAGCATCTGGCCGTTCTTCTCAAACAAAGGTATGAGAGAAGCAGCGACCGGTGAGAAGTTGTGGACTATTCTTCTCAGACGCCTTAGGGGAAGCAGCGGCCGATGGAGAAAGAATGTAGTGGCTAATTCTTGGGTTTTGGGTTGAAGATTAACGGGGGTAACTTTGGTATATTGCAAAATGGACCGAATATAATGAAGGGAAAATTCCCAATAAGTATCCTATACTTTAGGTCAAGTGCCAATTTAGTACCCGAACTTTAAAATGCGATAATCTAGTACCAAAATTTTCATTTTGCAACAATTTAGTACCCAAGGTTAACTCACCATCAATTAGAAGACAAAAAGATCTAAATACCCCTCAGCTATTTTGAATAATGCATGAATTCCCTATTGAAATTATGAAAATGATCCCATCAACTATTTCAACCAATGCAAGTGGGAACAATTATTCACACTTGCAATTGCTGAGATTGGATCCAAATCCAGACTGTCCAAATCTAAGCAGGGGGTCCCACCCTTGAGAGCTGAATTGGGTAAGATTCTTTCCTAATGGTCTGATCTAATGTGAGCCCAGATTTGAGATTTTAGTTGAGATGGCATTAATGATTTTAATGATTCTATTCGAAATTTCAGAGGTCAAAACTCAAAAATGTGAAGAGGTTTTTGCGGAATCCTGTGGATTTCTTATACCAACCTAAAACCACTTGCCTTTCTTCTGCAGAAGCCCGTCAGGCTTCTTCTTGGCAGCGCCGAAGGGGTCGTTGCCTTCAGAGCCACCGTCGTCGCCGATGTAGAAGACCACCATGATGAGAAGCCTCACCATGTTATCTGTCCACTTCATTCTCTGCCACAGAGACATCCTCTTTCTCTCGTCTGCTCCACCGTCTTCCCCCGCGAATTCCTACTCCTCGTCTCAATGCTGGTTGTGGTTTCGCTTTGGTGGCATAAGAAGGGTGTTCATGCTGCTTCACAGACTGAGACTACAAGTGATGATTGGCGTCTTAACCTGGAAATGACACCATTTGGGGGTGTTGTTGCTACTGGTGGTGTTGGTGAGGATGGTGTTGTTGCTATGTTTGATGCAGAGGCATCTCCAACCCAAGCATTCCAAGAGACAGACCAGAGATCATTCCTCTCGCCATACCATTAACCTCCATCAAAGATCAAACCACTCCTACATAGATAAAACAAAGGAGCTCAAACAACCAACATTTCCACCGAAGAACCCAGCTTCTCCACCATAATCCATGAGCAAAAGAAACCCACCAAGCCAATTTTTTTTAACAAAATGAAAAAAAAAAGAAATAAATAACCAAGAATAAAGAATCTAATAGTCAAAACCTTTATACTCTGCTTACGAACATGGATTTCCACAAACTGAAATCACCTAAAAGATTGATCCAGATAAGAAATCAAAAGAACCATTAATAGAAATGAGCATAAACAAACCCTAGGAATCATGAATTATACTAAATTCCTAAATGGGAATCCACAAACCCACCCAGAACTCAAAACAAACTCGAGCTCCAACAATAATTCCAATTCTCAACTCACTTAGGCAACAACGACAAGAAATACAAGCAGAAACAAGATAGAGCCAACACCCCAACCGATTACACAAAAGACATCGAATACAACACTTGATTCTGATATACCACCACATAAATTTGGCCCAAAATGATTAAAAAAGACAAACTATTCTAAAATTAAAGAAACCCACCTACAATAACTGAAATCCTGGGATCGAATTGGAAAATAAAAACATCTTAATCCGGAGATTTAACAGAAGAAAGGAAAAGAAAAAATAAAAAAAGTGTTAAACTAACATCAACTTTTGCTCTTGAGAAAACAGAAAAATAATCTTACCTGAAACTGGCGATCTTGAAGAAGCCATGGCTGATCCAACTATCTGGGAGATCACTTCAACCCCGTTTCAACTATCTGCTCGATGGGAGAGCCTTTCTATGGATTGGAGATAGATTGCACGGGGTTGGGGACCCTCCCTTTTATAGCCATCTCAAGGAACGGTTACTTTCCCATCAAGGTGACACGTTCATGGCTTTGAATGCCCTGTGAACGTTGCAAGACCATTAAAAGTGAAGAAGAAATGTTTTGGACGTTCCTTTGCAAGACCATTAAGAGAATATTTTGAATGTTATTATTATTATTTTTATTATTATTATTATTATTATATATTTTTCCGTATTTAATTAAACATACTCCATTCACATTCCTTATGGCATTCTTAATATTAAATCGAACTGAGACAAATGAGGCTATCAATACAAGATCACAAAGATCATTACATCTCACTAACAATGTAATATCATTTCATGGTCATTGTATTGACATCTACATCCTCCATAGTCCATGACCTAAATGTGGAATGATCCGTATGATGTAGTGATCAATCACATCTCTTCCACCTGTATGGTTCCTTAGATTTCTGCTATTTACAACCCACTAGAATCTTTATAGTGGAAGAACAGATAATTTGATGTAGAATAAATGAAACAAAAATTATATTATATGGGAACAACAATTGTCTTTATGCTAGCAAAAGATACTCCCACTAACCATGTGAATAAAATGATTCTACAACACCCATATGGGTAACTTGTTCCATGAGCAATTTTACATTAAGAACCTTGGTCAATGAATCAGCTATCATAGTTGTAGTGCTAATATGCTCTACAATAATCTCTTGTTCCTAACCTTCTCTCTCACAACAAAAAAAATTTATGTCCATGTGCTTGGATGCACTCGAACTCTTGTTGTTTCTGAGAAGAAGATAGCTGCAGAGTTGTCACAATAAATTTTCAATGGCTTGGAAATAGTACCCATGACCGAAGCCCTGAGATGAAGTTCCATAACCAGATGGCTTGCTTAGTTGCCTTGTAACAAGCCACAAATTCTGCCTGCATAGTCAACGAAGCTGTAAGTGACTGTTTAGCGCTCTTCCAAGAGATAGCACCTCCAACTAGCATAAAAATATAACCAAATGTCGACTTTCTATCATCTGGACAACCGAAAAAATCTGATTCTGTGTACCCAATCACCTCAAGGGTATCAGATCTACTGTATGTGAGCATGAAATCCTTGATTCTTTGGAGATACCTCAAAACTTTCTTTACTGCTCTATAGTGAACCTTTTCAGGATTGCTTTGATATCTGCTAAGTACACTAACTGCAAATGTAGTATCTGGTCAGGTGCAAACTTGAGAGTACATGAGGCTTCCAACAGTTGAGTCATGAGAATTTGTGCATTACTTTCTTCATTTCTTCAACCTCTAACTCAGTTTTTGGACATTGATCCCTACTGAGTTTCTCACCTTTAATGATTGGAACATCCCCCAATGAACAGTGGTTCATGCCACACCTCTTGAGAACCTTATCAATATAAGCTCTTTGAGACAGTCCTAACATGCCCCTAGTTCTATCACAATGTATCTGGATACCGATAACGAAGGAGGCTTCTCCTAGGTCTTTCATGTCAGAATTATCTATTAAAAATTGCTTAGTTTCTAAAAGCAGTTTCATATCACTACTAGCAAACAAGATGTCATCAACATAAAGGACCAATATAATAAACTTGCTCCCACTAATCTTGAGATAGATCATCTACTACATTTTCTTTGAAACCAAAAGAGGTGATGCTTGCTTTAAGCCATTGTCTTTGAAATCAAACCTTATGTACCATTGTCTTGATGCTTGCTTTAAGCCATAAATAGATTTATTTAATTTGCACACAAAGTTTTTCTTGCTTTTCACTTCAAACCATTCAGGTTGAATCATGTATACATCTTCATGTAATACACCACTTACAAATGTTGTCTTGACGTCCATTTGATCCAATTCTAAATCAAAATGAGCCACGAGAGCCATGACAATTCTGAAGAAATCCTTCTTAGATACAGGAGAAAATGTTTCTTTATAGTCAATACCTTCCTTTTGAGTGAAACCCTTTGCTACCAATCACACCTTATATCTTTCTATACTACCACTTGAATCTTGTTTAGTTTTATACGCCCATTTGCAACAAACTGCTTTGGCTCCATCAGGCAATTCTACGAGATCCCAAACTTCATTTCTCTTCATTGATTCCATCTCATCAATCGTGGCACTTGGCCATTTAGATGATTGTTGACAATTGATGGCTTCTTTATACGTGGTTGGATTATTTTTAGAGCCAACATCAAAATTACATTCCTGTAAATAACAAATGAAATCTCCAGATATAGCTGGATTTCTCACCCTTTGGGATCTCCTCAATGGTACTTCTTCTACTAGAGGATTATCAACTTCCATAGGAGAGTGTGGATCTTCCCTTACATGATCATCGACCACTGCTTCTTTATTTTGAATAGGCAAGACATAACGTTCGGACTCTAGAACAACAACTAATGTAGACCTCTCCTCAAACTCAATGTGTTGAGTAGACACATCATCACCAATAAGCCCATCTTCAATAAATTTTGCATTTCCAGTTTCTATAATTCGGGTTGGACATGATGGACAGTAAAATCTGTAACCTTTAGATCTTTCAGGGTATCCTACAAAATTGCAACTCACTGTTCTAGAGTCTAACTTATTCTCTTGGGTTTATATATCCTGGCCTCCGCTTTACACCCCCAAACATGCAAATGGTTTAGACTAGGTTTTCTACCAGTCCATAATTCAAATGGTGTCTTGCACACTCCTTACTAGGTACACGGTTCAAGATATATGCGGCAGTTTTAAAGCTTCTCTCCAAAGGGATTCTGGCAATGTGGAATTGCATATCATACTTCTTACCATGTCTTTTAGGGTGCGATTTCTTCTTTCTACTACTCCATTATGTTCAGGAGTCCCAGGCATAGTATATTGTGCAACAATACCGCATCCTTTTAAAAACTTGGTACGAGGTCCTAGATGTTGCCCAAATTCATTAAATCTCCCATAATATTCTCCTCCAGGATCAAGTCTTACTGCCTTAATCCTTTTATTTAGTTGATTCTCAACTTCAGCTTTGTAAATTTTGAAGAATTCCAAAGCTTGTGCCTTTTCATGCAACAAATAAATATAACCATAATGAGAAAAATCATCAATAAAAGTAATAAAATATATTTCACCATTCCAAGCAGGTAAAGGAAAAGGCCCACAAATGTCAGTATGGATTAGTTCCAAAAGATCTGAACTTCTCATGGCTCCCTTCTTTCTTCCTTTTGCGATTTTACTTTTAATGCACTCTACACATGTGTTAAAAACTGTAAAATCCAACTTCTTTAATATTCCTTCCTTTATTAACCTTTCAATTCTTTCTCTAGAAATGTGGCCCAATCGTTTATGCCATAATATTGATGAATTTTCATTAACAACGCATCATTTTGTACCAACAACATTATATGCATCCATTGATAAAAGAGATGAAGCATATGCAATATCAAGATTCAATTTATATAATCCATCACATAATTTTCCGGTACCAACAACACGAGATTGAGAAAAAAAACTAAAAGCACCATTTCCAAAATTAAACTTAAAACCAAGAGCATCCAATTTTGTAACTGACAAAAGGTTTTTCCTCATACTAGGTACATAAATAACATCTTCTAAGTCTAAAACAAAACCAGTGTCTAAAATCAATCTATAGACTCCAACTACTTCAACTCTTGCTTTGACATCGTTCCCCATCACTAGATCTCTTTCTCCATCACTTAACCTCTTGTTGTTGAGAAAGCCCTACATAGTATTTGAAATATGTAAGGCTGCTCCAGTATCAATCCACCAAGTATTAGAAGATACATCAACAAGATTAGATTCAGAAACTAGATAAGCTAGCAAGGTACATTTCTTCTCCATGTTCTTTTTGAACTTTAGACACTCTTTCTTCATGTGCCCCATCTTCTTACAATAGAAACATTGGACTCCACTATTCCCTCCTTTCTACCCTTGAGGGTTGTTTGCCCTAAATTTTTTGAACTTTCCAACATTCATTTGGCTTTTGAAAAACTTTTTTCTTATTTGGCCCTTGGGGTGTCTGTACAACAAGATTCACACTATCAACTTTACTTTTCTTAAGCCTCTCATCTTCTTGTACACACATGAAGATCAGCTCACTAGGGCTCCACTTGTCCTTTTAAGCGTTGTATGTGACTTTCAAATCATCAAATTGATATGGGAGAGAATTCAGAATAAATTGGACAAGAAATCCATCATCCACATTCATCTCTATACTTTTCATTTGGGTAGCAAGATCAACCATGTAAAGTATGTGTTCTCTTACACTTCTCGCACCCTCATATTTCGAATTTACTAATTGTGTCATTAAGGAACTACCAATTGCTTTGGCGGATCCAGCAAATTGCTCTTGAACCCTAATCATGTATTTCTTAGCAACTGGCTCATCTGGGATACCACCTCTAATATTCTTTGAAATTGTCCATTTCATTACCATCAAGCAGATACGATTGGCTCTCACCCAATCTTCATGTTTATCTTTTTCCTCTTTTGTGCTCTGATTAGTGGGCTTTAAAGGTTCGTCCTCTAATAGGACAAAGTCGATCATGAGAATGGCCATGACTATCTCTATTTGTTCTTTCCAGTCAGAGAAGCTTGAACCATTCAAAGTTTCAATACCAAACAAATAGCTAAGAATTATGACAGTATTCAAGGCTGAAAAGAAAAGGAAAACATGCTCACTATATTGCATCTCGATTCCTTTTGCATGTTAAGCTAAAATCATGCCATAAG